TCAGCAAGGTGTACCTGTAATCTTACAAGGTAGCACGAAACCCGGGTCCAGGGTTTCCTGTTGACTACCTCCAACCACCATCTAAATCTCAATACATAGCGCCCGCAGTGTTGAGTCACCTAGACTGTTGGCCACATTGCAACATGATCGATAGCATTCGATCTGCACTAATAAGGACTAGACAAGCATGACATTGATCACCACCCAGTGATCAATCAATTGTGAAACGAACTTCTCGATTACTTCTATCGACTCATCATCCAGGGTGAGTACAGGATTAGAATCCTGCCAGTCTTATAGAGTTACTTTGCACTTCGAAGGTGCAAAGCACATACCATACTTACGAACACTGATTAAGCGCGGATTGCATAGCTTGGGCATTATCGCACAGTAAGACAATATCATCCGCATACTCAAGGTCGAGAAGTCTTTCTCCAGACAACAGATCCACACCACCATTACTTGCATTCATCAGAGCTGTTTCCAGAATGTCATCGATGGCAAAGTTGAAGAGGAACGGTGAGATTGGGCAACCCTGCCTAACACCACTGCTCGAATGGAACAATGGAGAGAGGTGGTTGTATGCCCTCACTCTGCCTGAGGTGTTTTTATACAGGGCTTTTAGGATGTTAATAAACTTCTCAGGCACACCCTTCTTCAATAGACAATCCCAGAGAACAGTCCTATCCAACGAATCGAAGGCAGCCCTGATGTCAAGAGACATTACGATTGTTGGCTTGTGATAAGTATGACGGTGTTCTAACATTTGGTGGAGCGTGAAAATATAACCAATACATTCTCGACCAGAATGAAACACAGCCTGCTCCTCGCGAGTCAATCTTTGTGGGTTTTTGAACAACCTACGAAATATGACAGAAGCCAATAGCTTGGACGCAATCGGAAGTAGACTTACCCCTCGATAGTTGCTACAGGAACGACGTGAACCCTTTTTAAAGATAGGGACAACTATCGACTCATTCCATGACGTTGGTACACACTCTAGCTCCCAAACCTTTGTAAACAACGTCGTCAATTCCTTAGTCAAAAGGTCAACACCATCTTTAAAAAGAGCAGGAGGTAAGTCATCTGTGCCCGGTGATTTGTAGCGCTTCAAGAGTTGGAGTTCCTTGCGGAATTCCGCCTCATTTGGTGGATCAGTCATCACCGGCCATGAAGGGCATGACAGTCTGACCGATGTTGCCGGAGCAGCAGGCCAGTTGAACTGCCCTTCGAAGAATTTTGCCCATCGTTCAAGACGTCGATGGATGTTAGTGGCTGGCACCCCATCATCCCCATAGGTTGTTTCGCTCACACCAGACGTCTTGCTGTCAATGGCTCGGATGAGTTGGAAGAGCTTCCGGTAGTTACCAGATGCAGCTGCTGCTTCCAGCTCATTAGCACGCTCCGACCACCAGGCTTCTTGTAAGCGGTACGTTTCGCGAAGCCACAAGCGGCCTTACTCGACATTTTCATGGCGTCATGAAGTTGCAACCAACGCTCATCTATAGTTTTTGGTGGGATGGTAGCTAGCCTAGAAGCTAGCTCGGTTCGATACATACTTGCAACAGAAGTTGCAAACAGCTTGCTAACATCAATCCTTTGGTGGCGGTCATTTCGTTGTCCACTGAAAAGTGAGGTAAGATTGGCGCAGACCAGGGCATGATCAGAGTCCAGATAGGTACTCCAACAGGAGCGGCAGTCTTTTACATAACCGCGCCAGCGGTAGCTGATCGCGATGTGATCAATCTGAGTCCAGGCTTGAGATACAGAGAAAGAACGCCAGGTGGCACATCGGCGATGACTGTGCCGGAAATTAGTGCTATCCAAAAACAGATTGTGGTCTGTGCACATCCACAGTAGACGATTCCCGTTATTTGTCCTGCGGCCAACAAGTCCCCATAGGCCACCTAAACGATTCTCTTCTGTGCCTAGACGCCCGACCTGAGCATTCAGGTCTCCGGCTAGTACTACAATATCTGTCGAATGCATTTTCTGAAGAACAGATAACTGGTGGTAGAATTCATTCTTGATTGCATCCGGGCTGCAATCTGTCGGAGCATAGGCGGAGATGATGAAAAGGAATCGTTTATCACGCCGATTTCTTCTCATTTTGATGGAACCTTCTAATCTAACAGCACATAACCGACTGTTAATGTGGATCCAGTCAATTAGTGCTGCCTCAGCTCTAGCGCTTAGTGAAACACCAACGCCAGCAAGACTAGACAAAGATGCTACAGGGTCTCCGGATTAACGCACGTAAAACAAGCTTTTTGAAGCGACAGATGGAGAGTGAATTTGTAGTACTTCACTGGGATCTTGCATACGGGTCTCGAATAGACAACAAACGTCGACATTAACACTTTCCAAAGACATAGCCAACCCTGTCTGTTTTCATATCTGCATTAGTGTATGAACGTTGAAGGCAGCCATTTTGAGTGGTGCACGTAGTTTCAGAAAAACTGTTTCGGTACTCATATTCGGTGGTAGCATTCAATTTCCCACCAGCCAGTGACTCGAGATCGTTTAGATAGAGCCGAATTTCCACCATAGGCGAGCTGCTGTATAAGTTGAAAAATAAGAATACACAAAGTGGGAATAAAAGAGAGTGAATAAATGACGTAGTAAATAATAATAATAATAATAATAATAATAATAATAATAATAATAATAATAATGTGAATCGTTTGATTATTAATCGAAGCAAGAAAAGTATTTTCCATAATTATCGATAGTTCATCATAATTGTGTGTGGGCTGTGATACTGCCCGGGTGCCCAGACCGAAGCAGGTGGTTTTCTTATAGGGCCACACAACAAGCCTTCGACCTAAAGGTCTAACACACAAGGCAGTGGAGCACCGTAGGGAGATGCAGTTCCATGGTAGCCGGTGACCAAAATTTGGTTTACACACATTTGTTCCCTCAGGATACTGGAGCCCATGTGCACCATGGGTTTGGAATCCGGTTAAAGCGCCGGATATTCGCTTTTCGTCCTCTCGATTTCGTAAACAACACCCCCACTACGAGAAGGCAGTGAGTAAGACTTCCCTGACAAAGGCTGTATGCGCGTGGCCGTATGAGAGCATTTCCAGAGGGAGGAAGGGTCCACCCCACTCCCGGCCATACCAGGGCATTTGGGCCCCTACTGAGATCACTGGATAATTGTAACGGTGTACAACTGACTGACGAGGAAATACCTAACGATAAATTACTGGATTTATACTAACGGCAAATCTTATAATGGGACGAAAAATCTTTTTAAGTCTATGATTTTAAATGGTGTAATAGTTAGTGCTAATTTGTAATGAAAACTATCTTCAGAAATTATTTGTTGTTTAACACTATGTGATTGGGAATCATAACTAAATATACTTTGTATACTTATTCATTTTTCTCACTTTCATTATGAACTCCGTTCAGATTATGATGCTATAATCACTAAATAACTGTCTAACTAACTCTGAATACTAGTTCATGTATTTATTTCAAACTCCAAATTGGTTGCTGATATTTCTGTTACATCATCAAAATGATACAATCCATAATGTTAACTATATTACTTAAATATTTTACAAAACTTTTATTCTATACTTTCTTAAACTAAACATTTATATTTATCCAAAAGACAAAAGATTAGTTATTTATCAACTTTTTAAGTAAACAGATTTTTTACCGGTGATTCACAATTATAGCATTATCTCTGAACTATTATTTAAGTATTTAAATACTGACATATCATGCTTACGCAAAATAACTTTAAAATATGAATATTTACATTGTTCTGAAGGTAAATCACATTTAACCACCCATTAACAAGATGGAATTGATAACTGTGTGGTTATTTATTTACCAATACAGATGAATTGTTTTTATTACATCTATTTTATAACAACTTGATCACTCTTTTGACAATATATCCGTCATCGGTAAAAAAAACCCCACTTAACTGGATGAATAATACATTTGCTTAAAATTTCAAGATTATCTTGTTTTCAGTTAACATAGTTTTTTTTACCAAAATTTTGTGATCATATAAAGTTACGTTAATTTTAACATTTTACAACAGTTAAGAAAGATTCATAAGTATAAATAAAAGTTTACACGATTTAAACAACTTGACTCGAAATATTATAATAATTAGTAGTATTTTTGGTCAAAATCAATTAATATTGGTGACTGCACAATATTTATTACCTAAACCTATAAATAGAAACGTTTAATTGCTTACGGCACTGATTGTTAAGTTGGTGATCGGTTGTATACGAAGTCACTGACAAACTTTCAGCTACACTATGTGGGTTTTAGAGGTCTCAAGTCCCTAGGTTAGGTGATTTAGTTGTCAAATTTTGATTGTATTTTTTGGACGTCATCAGACATGCCTTGACATATCCTCATTCTGAGCTGAAAATATTTTACGTTATTATACTGGTGTGGTTTACATAAATTTATTGAGATCAGTGATTGTAGTACACGGCAATAAAAGAGAAATAGAAAACAGAAGTCAGTAGTTTTTTTATTAATTATTTTGGTTATTTTTAAGTTGTATTCATCGAAAAATGGTTTCATGTCAATCTTATGTAGTCCTAAATGTAAGTTTTTTACCACCTAGTAATTGTTATTACCTTTTATTTTTTGAAAATAACAGTCTACTAACTAAAAATCATTGAAATTACTACATTCTCCACAAAACCCATCTGATAAAAACGTATCACTTAGTTCTCCGTTAAATGTATCTAGATGATGCACTTATTGTTCTTTATAAATTGTTGGACATTATAGTGTCATACTGCACATGAATTATGCATCTTAATCGTAAAAGTATTTATAATCTCCCCTCTCTCTTTCTACTGCTCCGATTGGAGATATGTAAAAGGAAGATTGCCGTGATGTAATGAGCGTGTGAAAATATAAGGATCATAGTGATGTATCTATTCATTTCAAAAGTATCTATTGTCTGTATTACAGTGGTTAACTAAAACTATAAGCATTTATTTTCAATTTAGCCGAAGGAGTTTCGAACAATGTAAGTTTTCCAAGTAAACAAGACGCTCAAGAAATAATCAGAAAAGTAAAATATGCTTTTAATTTGAATGAACAAATTCAACCACATATTCCAGAAGAAATATCAAAGAAAATTTTCATTCGACTATTCAACACCGTTCAGTGGTTGGATAAAGTTTGTCGACATAATATTGTACCTGACTATGACCAACATATGGTGCGTGAGATTGTTGAACCTCTATTGGAAGAGGCTACGCTTGCAACGATTGCAAAAAGATTACAAAATAAAATCGAGTTTTGGAAAGGACTTGGTCCTGCTTGGAATACTCCACCGTAAGTTAAAATTTACTTAGTTAACTATTATTCTATGACATTTGGTATGCTAATAATTGGCTACACCCCATTCGAGTATTCGATTTCCTGACTACATGTTTTGTTTTTTATTGTATCATGAAAGTTTCTTTGAAAGTATGTCAATATTGAAATAGATAACAGGTAATCTATAACTTCTGTTATGCCATAAACGATCTTTTTTATACTCGAAGACAGTTTTGGCAAGAATGGGAATCACCCGAAAATCAGTCGGCTTCTGAACTTTTTATCCTAGTTCCTGTTTTCTTACTACTGTTCCAGAAATAACTGGCAATTCTCTCGCCTCGTAGCAAGGATAACACCTCCAGATTACATAGGTGATCAACATTAGTCGGAATGTAAACATGGAAAGTCGAAAAATGTTCCACACTTGTGTTCTTATTCAGTATTTCGTTTTCAATATTTATTAGTATTAATTTCTTGTTCTGAGTCTATCTGAAATTTTCTGAATACTGAAAGATAATCCATGTTTGTCTTCTAACCAATGCCAAAATGATTTCTTTACCGTATATAAGATATATATGTGTATATCACAAAAAGTTTGAATAGGATTCAGACTAACAATCTAAACGCCTTTCATGATATTATCCTAACATGCAAAAATGTCCTAACGAGTAATTGATTTTCACGATTAGAACGTGACATTATTATACTTTACGCAACATCCTGCTATCGGTATAACTTGTAAATTGTTTTACCATCTTACAATCGATTGTCATTTTTGAGTTATATGTAACAATCATCTCAATGTAAAGATTATAAACGCTAACTTTTGATCATACTATCAATAACGCTTTAACAAAAAGTCCTTGGAACATTTTATATAAACTACAAATGCTTTTATTTGATTACTTATTTCATTCTGAAACTGGTTTTATCGGTTAAGTATTATTGATTTGTTTATATTTGATAATGTAGCCCGCATGATTTTCAGTTAACAAAACGAAACCTTGACAGAAAATGTAGTCACATTGTGCTTTCTTAATATAAGTTCATAATTTTTACGACATATAATAATGTATGTATACAAATACTGGTGTCTTTTTCATGAAATTTACCAAGTAAAGTAACATAAAATGGTTAATTATTATACATATGACATTGACTGGTTAAGAACACTTTATTTAGGTAGACATTTTAAGAAAACAATATAGATTTTTCGAGTGCGCTACTCTCTCTAGAAGTTTAAATAAACTTATGTTCTGGAACGTTCGAAGATGCTTTATTGTTAAAGACTGTTTAGCACATTCAAAATGTGTAAACATTTATTTAATAAGAAAAAGAGAATGCAGCGAAGAAGTTTTTCTTTTCGATGAAATCATTTACTTAAGCTGTACACTCGTATATATAGTTATATAGAAAATATATTTCTATAGGAGGATAGAAAAGATTGCATCATAAATTTATTAAGCCTTTCCTCTGAAGATCCCATTCGGATGTACAAAGCATTTTTAGCTGAAGTGCAAACATATGGATATTTCACATATTTGAAGTATTTTTAGTAAGTTAATTTTAAAAGTTCTTAAGGAGTACAGATTTAACAAAATACTGGAAGTTTCTCTTTTTGTACCAATTTTATCTAACTGACCAGGTATTTCACAAAACTAATTACATGACAATCATTTTAATTAACTGCGACAAGGGATTTAACTCATAGTCTTCCCTGAACGATGTTAGAAGCACACTGTCTAGGATAATAATTATACATATGAACGTAGCGATGAACATTATTGTTGAGTACAGAACAACAGTATATTAGAAAGTGTAGTTCAGGCTAAGTTAGTTACTAAATATCATCGATTAGTCTTTTAAGCACTGGTTACCCGGAGACAGTTGATTCTAATCCTTTTCCGGTTCAGAATTTTCCATAACCTCACTCGTCACTGTCATTGTTTGCAAGACGCATCTTCTCAAGCAAGAATATCATAGACAGTTCAATTGCAGATATCCTTTATACAGGCTACAAAGAGTTGAGGACATAAAATACTACATTATACTACTAATACTATTACCTTGTGCTTCGTATTACCAAGCTTGTGAGTGGGTGACCATTTGGTAAAGGAGTTCATTTTAACTATTTAGTTATGGTAAGTAAGGAAGGAGTCCAACCATGGAATCAAGAGACCTATGACTTCATATGGTTTGAGTTTATCTATAAGAAGCTGATGGTTAGCCAAGTCAAATAGCTTAGGTATGTTAGAATACGTTCATAGAACTAATTTGCGCAAAACTACGTTGAGCAAAGAGTGTTAAATAAGCCTAGTTAACAAATCATGCAAGATCTAGCTCTTAGGAATTTGTTTTACAAACATTTAATAAGTTTTTCGACAGGTAAATTTTCTAATGTTTTGCCACTTACTTTTAAAATGGTCTTAGGGATAATTAATGTGATAATATTGGGTCTATAATTATGCTTGTTCATCTTATTTCGGTAATCCAATTTAAAATTTCATATGGAATTTTCCAACGCCAATGATAAACATCTGTTTTCAGAGAAAGCGTAAACAGTTTAGATAGTAGTAATTGGATAACAAGTCCTCCTTATTTGAAGTAAAAGGATGGACTCTCGTCTACTCCGTTACTTCTTGAAGCGTTAACTAAATTTATGGTCTAGTGATTTAGGAATAATTAAAAGAACGGACTTTATTTAGTTCGTTAAATGTAGTACCTCCAACCTACTGTGATCTACCAAACATATCCCTTAAGAGGTTATTGATGGTTTCAAAGTTCTCTACAGCTTTCAATCTATATCCTTCCTTTGTTCGGTTACAAATGATAGTTATATTTTTGACTGTTACTATATTTAACTGATACGAATAGAACATATCAGTTGTTTCTCTACTGGAAATTCTTCATATTTATTCAGGTGTGACTATACAATCTATGTTTTTATTTATCAACACATTAGTGTGCACTCTCAGCTAAGCACTGTATTTCTACTTGTGCAATAAAAGCTGTCCTGATTTTTGAGTTACCAACTAAAGATTTTAACATATTCTCAATTTATAATGAAAATCCCAACATATGTTTTTCCTAAATGTTTGAATTCAATCCATTTGTCTTTAAGTGGATTCTATGTAAACTCTGATAGTCAGCAAAAATAGCTAATCCATCAAGAAATGAAAATAACTACCTTATTCACACATGTCACTTCGTCACTGAGTGATAACCAACTTCAGTCTCTCTATATCCGAATCATGATCAAATGTTATTTGTCAAGATGTAGTGTAGTTATTGGTATGTCTCTGATTCCTAGTACACTTTATTTGACGTTTCGTGGTTTGAGACAACAAAAAGGAGCTAAGAACTTTTTCGCTAAGTGATAAATATCAACAAGACCTCGAGAGGACTGGTAGTACTCGAACACATGTTACCCAGTACTATAATTAAGGAACCTCTCATCTAGCTATTCAGACCTCCTGTAAGTAGAGACGTCTATACTCATCAGTCACTGAATGGTTACAAATGTAGTTTTGTCTCATCCTTAATTCTGATCGAATTATATCGAGGTAATAAAAAACGGCAAACTATTGACCACTGAGTAAGCTTTTTTTCTAATGACGAAAACGTCTAAACTAAAGTGTCACTCACTTTTCTCAACTTCCATTCGTTTTAACTGTTACTTTTTATGGTATAGTTCGATCACTAAATTGTTAAGAGATTTTAGAATCTATAAAATAGCATAGCAATTATTTCATTTTAAGTTATGCTAACGCTTATATATGATCATGACATTTTTGCGAGAATATGAGATTACATAAATTCTCCCAGCTTTTTGGAATAAATATTGGTCATCTTAATTTTTTTGTAGTTTCAAGTGAATTCAGCATTAGGTAGGAAGTTAATAATAAATACATTTTTTGTTATATTTCAGTGAGCAGAAAACTATGTCCAACGTTTCGTGACTTAATGTAGGCCACTTCTTCGGAGCATGGAGATGGGTTATATTAAGTCACAAAACGTCAGAAATGCGTTTTTCTACTCATTGGGGTATCACAAAAAATTATTTGTTATTGGTTACTTAGTTTACATATTCACTTTTCGCTTGCTTGATACGCAAAATATCTTCTAAACAAAGTAATATAATGACTACCAAATATGGAAATCAGTAAAAACAGTTGTTTTAAGATTACTTATCGATAACTTAAACGGTTTTTTACGTTTCATTCTGAATTTATTTTGTTTATTTTTAGTGAAAGATGGAGCGAACATCTCGCTCGGTATTCCCCACAGTTTGCCTCTAAATCTGTTAATAAACGCCAAACATGGCATGCCGAAGCTAACATAGTAACGCCAAGCGTGGTAAGTTTCATCAACTAGCATTATATATTAATTGTTCAGCTAAATGAATTTAAGATCCTTGAGCTTCTAAATAAACAACTTTATATTAAGAAAACTATGGTTTGATTACGAACTTGGTAATCTTTGAACACAACACTTCTACAATTTCACCTCTATCTGTTGTAACGTGTGAACTGCAGGTTAGATGCGCAGCGTATTTATCGATCGATCCAGTGACACGTAAAACACGTAATGAACGGCCTAGGGTTTTTGATTGGCCCCGCTTCCCTGTCTAGCCCAGCCAGTTGAGTCCAGAACGCAAGTCTTAGCCTCTGAGATATGAATCATTATATTTCAGACGTACTCTATTTATATACCAACTAACCAGACCACATCGTACCATAAAATAAAAAACAACATTTGTACAATATTTGACAGGTGAAATGAATATCGACCAATGGAAATGTCCATTTAACGTCCAGAGACACCATTAGACTTAACACGACAATTATTGGTATATTCCTCTGCATCCCTAACACTATCGGCCAGTAATCTTGGATATTTACCATTCTACCCATCGATATCTCTCTTAGTCTCTGGTTAAAAACTAGATTAAATTACTAATTAGCTTCAGAGCACTTACGCCAATTTTTAACTTGATTCTATAACTCCCGGGACTTATTAAATTTTATATTTTTAAAGCTAAACATTTAACTTACACTATATTTTATATTGGACAAGATTGAAAGATTATGAATTAAACCCAAATATTCTAACACATATCCATCATATATGTGTATGCTGTTGATAATACATTTGCAAATTCAGAAATATCATGAATTCTCAGAATACCAATAAAATATAATAATTCAGCATTTTATTCTTGTGAAAAAACGGCCACTTTACCAACGTTATACCAATAAGTAATTGTTTATGTATTAAGAAAAAAAATAATAAAGCTTGAGAATTTCTTTTCTACAAATGTTTTTTTTAGAATATGTAAACGACGGTAGAAAATTATTGGCAATAATAGTAATAATAATAATTATTATTATTATTACCATTATTATTATAAACAGAAGAAGAAAATTGATTGATCGTATTCAACATCTCAGAAATATAAATCATAGTAATAACAGTAATGATGATTAAAATTAGAATCTAAAATATGGAATTCAGTTTATTCACCATTCACATAAATAAATAAATAAGAATTTGTCAAAAAGACACTAATCATGTAAATTTTGCATTGATTTCATGATACCTTATTTTTCATTATGATCATATTAATACTATTAATAACACTTAGCTATCTAGTAATAGTAAATGATAGAATGTTTAGTAATATGTGTATCAGGATCTATAACTTAATTGTGGTTTAAATAAGAATAAATACTATCGACAAATATAATATGAAAGATACTTTACTTCTTTGTTTTAGCTCATTTTACTGTTGAACCACCTAATTCATGAATACTATGTAAAAACTAATCAATTTCTTAAAATTACCTGAACTTTTCATTTGAGTCAGCTACGGATTGTGATATAAACGATTACGGACTACTATACTAAATGAAAATGGATGAACAGTGATTTATAGAGTTTCCATGCACTTAGAACCACATTTCTGAATGTATTTACATTCTTAGTAAATACATGTATTCAACTATTGTGACTAGATCAAATCAGCTTACTATTCAGCGTGAATACATAGAAAAGATTTGTAAAGCCTCAGTATGATTAACTAGACGTATTTTGATGGCACTACTGTTTAATTTCCAACATTCAGAACTGTCCAAATCAATATTATCTATCCTGTTTTATGTTTAGTGCTAATTATTAGCAGTTCACAATAATATTTGTTTTTAATTAACCCACTAAGTCATTATTGTTCAATGAGCTTAATACCATCTCATCCCTTAAAATTTGAACTTGATAATTCTATTAGTAATTATCAATTTTGTCATAATATAAATGAATATATATGAATCATTTGGTCGATATTTCTTCAAAATATTTCCTCAATTCACACAGTCTCAAGTTACGCATGATACATGCACTCCACATTCTGAGTTCCATATGACATCCAGTAATAATAAATTGGTTTTTTTCATTAAACTTTTACCAACAGACTTATAATTTTTAATTTCTCGCTAAATATTCAATCGAACTAAACATGGTTACTACTTCGAAGGACTTCAAAAAACTAAATAAACAACTTAATTCTCTGATGATGGAGATGCAGAAGAATTTGATAATTATACTAAAACGACTCAAAAAACAAACAAATTGATCCATTTCTCATGAAACCAATTTCTAGAAATTAAACTAAATTAACTTTCATCTGCTAAGTAATTGATTATACTAAAAGAGCAGACTGAAGCCGTTGTTTATAATATACACGAAGCATTCAACTGTTCACAAATCATTAGTCAGTAATTAGAATAACAATGACGAAATAATCAACATCATTCTATCTTTAATTCAGCATTTTTCAGTCATTTCATTTCATTTACATTATAGAATTTGTTTTACAGAATAACGTGTAATTTATCGTCGATTTCTTTTCTTTTTTCTTATCACAATTATATCCTTTTTTATAGGGAGATGTTGAAATAAAAGTAGTAAGTTATATTTCATTTTAAATATATTATTGTTTTCTATATAAGTTAATTTATACTACTATTTTTCTTGAACAAATCATATCAATTATATCATTAAATAAATAAGAATGGTGGCATTATTTTGTAAGTTAATTATTGTTTTATTTTGTATACACCTGAAATGTTTATGAGCACATTAAAAACGACTCTATTTATAAGTCATTAACAAGAAAACTTGAAAAGGGGTTTCTTTTTTTTTGCTAGATTATGTCGTTAAAATTTAGGATCAAAGGTATCTTTATTGATTGACATGTTCAGGGAAATTAACTTGAAATTATTAAAGGACAAAATAAACTTATGATTATCAATATTATAATATAATTCCCTTTAAGAGTCATCTTTTGATATTCTGATGAAGTTTTCAATGAATAAGGGTTTTTTTCAAGTTAAATATATATTGAAGGTTTTATTTATTCTTAAGGATGTTAATCTTCACTAGTTCAACAAGACATTATAATTAATTATTGAAAAAGTGCTTATTCTTAACGTTTCTCAAACTCTTTGACTTGATTCAAATTGATCTTCTTAGAATATTACACCAGTTTATTCTTCCAGATTTAGTAAAATGACAGTTCGACGATTTCAATGTATTCACTGAATAGAATAAAACACCATTTAGATAAAAAACTGGAACTTTTTTGACCGATTTTATACTTTTCAGGGAGCAGTAAGCAAACCTTTATACTCGTAGTATTAAAACGTTCAGATCATGTCATTATCAAATAGTATGGCTATTGTTCTTCGTAGAATCGCGAATCCTCACTACATTATTTCGAAAATGTAGTGAAAAGATGAAGTTGGTCTAAAATATACGGTATATTTGTTCATATCATTTGGAAAACGTTGATCACTATTTAATTAAGTAATTGGACAAAGTTGTTAAAGATAAAACGATATGAAATACGATACTTTCACTTGAACATAGTCAAAATAATAGAATGTTTCTTTCTGACTTTCAAGATTCTTTAACTTTCATTTTCTTCAAACTATACATCAAAGTAAATTCACAAAACTTTGAGCTGTAGTAACTAAAAATGACTAGCCTATCTTAAGCTAATACTCCTTTGTTATCCAAATGTCTTGGTAATCAGTACCATTTTTATGCCCAAGTACTTGTAAAGTTTAGCTGTATATATTATCTATTACCAACCTATTATAGACAGAGTTATATTATCGAAAAATATCACTCTTCTCATTAATTTTATGGGCTAAACATGAAAGTCTGTATTATCTGTAAGGTTTGCATTGCATTAAATTTCTTACCATTTTCAATAATATAACTTAAAGTCGATATAAATTTAAATATATTGCTTCTTCTCAGACACAAACAATCTCACCACGCCATTCTCCTATTCCTTCTGAACGAGCCAGAACTCCTTCACCCGTGCGTCAAATTGGTAAGTGAAGGTAATCACTTCTAAATAAAACTCTAAAAGTGAAATCAAGTCGAATAATCATTATGTGTAGTGTTTTAATCTTTATATGTTATGTTTCATTTGAAGAATGTATATGATCACCGGGAAACTTCAAATAGATCAACTGTTAATGCCCATATAAATAAATTGAATAGATGTCAGATAGTTTTTTTTTAATTTCTCTTCCACTTAAATTTTAAGATGAAATAACTTTCATCAAAAATTGTCCAATCAATTTATTTGAAACTTGAATACCATACGTTATAACTTAATGCATCACTAATATACTACTTGGTACACAGAATAAATATCACAAAACCCATGAAATGTAGAAATTGACTTTTATCGAAGATTTATTATTAATTATACAGTATTTCAAATTACAGTAACTGAAATATGGTGACTCGCTTGAATTGACTTGAGATAGATTTTTCTCGAGAAGATAATGCTATATCGAAATCGAAGTAAACATAATTCTAATACCTGTTTTTCTTAGCGATCTTTCTGCTTATTTACGTACGCTTTCTGACTACATCGAAACTCAATTGTGATCAAAGTATAGAATCACTGATAGATTTTTCCGGAGCCTGTAACTAATTTGATTTAGATTCCGGATCATTTCTACTCTGAAATACAGTGATCTCCATGTAGTAGTGTAGTCAGTCGAGATCTGGCAGCAGTATTCAGTATATAATTTGTCACCACGAGTGTGTTTTCTTATGTAGTGTGATTGTTTGATTTTAATCGAGTTATTCTAAATGCCTATAATTTATAGTGTTTGTAAGATTAAACCGGTTACTTTTTCTAGGCACGGAAACCGTACCTATGGACAATGTGAATACAGCAGTATTAAATCTTACTAATGGTAATCCAACTATTTCGTATTTTTGGTTATTATTATTATTATCAACAAACAGGCAATAGAGATTATGTATGCTTTTACATATATTTGCACTTTTCTTGTAAGATTTTATATGAGCTCTATAGCATTTTGTCTTAATCAGTTCCATATACTTAACACCACACCTATCATCTTTATTCGTAGTTACAGTGGAAAAATCTCCAGAACAAAGAGTGAAGTCAGTAGATCAACGTAGTAGCCACCCTCAGCGTCGTTGGGATTCTGAAGAAAAGTAAGTACACAATTATATATGTTTCAATCATTTATTTGTTCACGTGATATATTCTCAACTTATTTTATGTTGTTGACATAAATGATAAATAAGTTATGTTTAAAACTTTTGATCTTCCTAATTTAAAAGTACTTTCTCCATTATGTTTCCATGATCAGATGTTTTGGTATATTTTATTACTATAACTAAGAGTAAATTAACTCTAACTGACTCAGTTGCAGTATACTAGTATATATATGTATACTAATACACTACTGACATACATATCAAAGAAACAAAGGAGTTATGTTATAACTTGTGAACCTATGTGCCCTGTATATTGGATAACGCAACGATACCGCCAATCAGAGAGTAGCGAATTATAGACCGAACCAGTGACACATAAAACACGTGCGAGCAGCCTAGAGTCCTGCTTCCCGCCTGGCCCAGCCAGTTGAGTCCCGAACACCAATCTCAGCCTCTGCAATATGAATCATTTATTTCAAACATAGAGTTTATGTACCAATCAAACAGACCACAACGTACCGTAAAATAGAAAATAACATTTGTACAATATTTGACCAAAAGTGACTGAATGAGGGAGATAGTAATCAATAGACAGGGCATAACTCAAGAATGGTAAATCGTATAATACTAGTCTATTAGTCAAATAAAAGCTTATAATAAGAGCGATATGAATATGAACAGTTTAGTTGCATAACAATTATAAGATAAAAATATACTGATAGTATTGTTCCATAAATGGATCCCAATAATTACCATTCATTATTCTTATCGGGATATAACACCCCCTCCTTTTTGAAGATTCGGATTTTAAATTTTCCGAGTTTATCCTCCCCCACGGAACAGTGTTGGATCCTCATATTCTCAAGTTACAATTAATTTGACTTTATTTAAAACATATTTGTCACATTGAACAGAGAATTTACTAAAAGTGGTTAAATGGTGAAGACCAACGACGCTTGATATGAGGTCATCAAAGTTTGATTCTTCTGAAACATTATCATCGAATTTCTTGAAAATCTCATAAGTAGGTAGTCGATCACTAGAATAATCAGAATCTATCAAAATTTTATTAGGTTCTTGATTATCGTTTGATGCATCCGACAAATTTTTCTCATTTTTGCAAGAAATTTGATCAAAAGCGTAGGAGTCATTAAGATAACTCATATTTGATAAAAAAAAAACTAGAGAACTCCAATAAGTAGATTCATCATAAAATTTTGGTCTGGAATGATGAGCTCCATTTGATGCAACGGTCTTCATTATGCCGCCTGATTCATTTTCTGTCTCTTCGCGGGCGGCTACTGCAATAATTTCATGAGCATTTAATAAGACGTCGTCTGTCTGTGAGCTGGACAAGTCAGTGTTTGTACATGGTGTTTCGGTGGCAATGAGATTTGAACCCACGACAGGGCATGTCTGTGAAATGGATATTTCTGGACCACTGGGCGGATCATGAATGACTGCTACTGCTTCGCTTACATCACTGCTCGTCAAGGATTCATAGAGGCCCTTATCGACACATCCATACGTCCTGCAGTCATTTTCCAGCTCGGTATGTAAATTAGAAATTAATTTATCCACTTCTGTTACATCTCCAAAACATGGATGATTTAGCAGCCGTGTGCGTAAATTGTCTAAAACATTCAACTGGGTATTTTTGAAACGCTGCTGTTGTCGCTCAAATAACAACTGAAATTGATCGGAAAAGATAGTCATTTTCTGAATCAGCACGGTAATGAGAAATAATGTATGATTAATTAACAACCAATGTCTTCCAAGAACACCGATGACCAATCTGGATGCTGATTGCTCGAAATAATTAGACTGAATTTCGTCCAATTACAGGCTGATGTTGAAGATTGGGGGTTCAAAATTTGTTTCCTACCCCGTCGTTAATTATTATAGCTTGTGAACCTGTGTGTCCTGTATATTGAATAACGCAACGATACCGCCAATCAGAGAGTAGCGAATTATCGATCGAACCAGTGACGCATGAAACACGTGCGAGCAAGTTAGTTGGTATTAATTTGAAGAAACACTTGAAATTAGAAATTTGTTGTCAATTACTCTGTATTAATTTACAACTGATCGATTACTGTAAACTATTGTTGTATTAAAAATAACTCAATTCATTAAATAGTAATGCATTGTATGGCTGTAGTCACCGTTAACATGATTTATTTCAAATGTATAATAAGTCGTATGCACAAGTAAGTTTCATGTGTCATATGTACCAATAATGAACTTCTTCGAGTTATTGCTTCACGATTAGCATGACTGCGTAGTATTGTTATGATATCAAATATCTGATCCAAATAAATTGTTACGCTAAATTCTGTCAGAAGTAATTCAGTAATTTTGTTATCTATGCTTTTAGATGGTGTGTTGTAAATGTACTACATGTAGGTGCAAAACCTCAAGAGCTAACTGTACAACCAGGCGATGTTCTACAAGTAAGCCATTATTTTAAATACGGAACCACTGTTTTTTTGACTTACTTTTAAAGAGCTAGTAATAATTAATGCTTAGTGTAATATTTATTCTGTCTGAGTTGTTATATTTGCCTCCATTATATTTTTTCATTTGTCCTACGGATTAGTATTTTTCCAGTGTGTAAAGAATTCCCCATGAAATTGATTTTCATTATAAGAAAGGTTTTACTGTACTCTATATATTCATAGTTATGTTTCTTAACTCAAATCTATATTACACTGCAATAAAATACTCCTCACTAAGTACAACGAAACTTTACCAACATAATAAGAAACCTCTGAAAGTATGAAAAAGTAATTTTCAATCAGCTTACATGATATGGTACATCAAGAACCATGGCATTATGTACTAATAGTGATCAGTATCAAATCAGTGTTTGAATAACCTCCACTTTCATATCATAACATTTTTATTACATAATTAGATACATTTTACTAAATATTTCTTACTGGTTTACAAAATATGATGCTACAATTAATCAAATGTTAAATCTGCAACGGTAACTAGCTGTTAATTTGAAATAGTTGATATTCTTAGCAAAAGCATGTTGTATTTAACTTTCTGACCGGCACTTGATTTTTATGTCTTCATATTTTTATAATTAAGTATAGTGAACATGCATCAATCATCTTTTTCTTCACTTCAATGAAATCTTTTCAAAATAAAAGCGGTGTTATTATCTCCATAGTTTATGACAGAAGTCATTATCAGACTGGTAGAAGCTTAGCTAATATATGAAATTCAGTTTAACATGAAGAAAATCCTGTAGCTGGTATTAACTCTTCACCATAAACTTTTTTTTAACACAAACATGGATAATTACTCTTTACTTGTGACTTCTGAGTTTTTAGATTAAAGCAAAATTGTAACTTGGAGGCAGTAAATAAACTCCTATCCTGCCAATTACATACTTAAGTAATTCAGTGTATACAAGAGTAACTTATTTTAAGATGACTCTATAACAAGGACAACATATTATAGGTTAGTGGACAATGTTTCCTGATATCTGAAGTTTCGTCATATTCGATTCAAGGCCCCATGCCTAAATTAATCATTTATATATACCTTTTTCGAACCAAATAAAATTGAGATGAGTTATGTAAATTCAGATCACATCCGATGGCAAAATATTAAAACGGTCTATGTTAAATTACGTAGCATATTAGCAATCTTCTGATATTTTTCTTAGGTTCACAAACTCTACATACTATTCACTACATATTCTGTTAACAGTATCCAGTTGATCATTTCGTAGAATGCTTACAGTTGTATGGGTTTGATACTATGTAGTATTGAACCAATGATAATGTCTAGTTCGACTGTAGTTACTATTTTTAATATAAGAAAAATACGAACTCATAAAGCAGTTGGTTGAAGGCATTCACATTTTGAGAAGAAAGTGTTTCAGATCATAAATATAAGCCTTCCAATTCATTTTCAAGTTTAATGAAATATTCTATAATTGTTTCTTCACTTGTTGGTTTAGATTCTGAATAGTAGTAAAGGTGATTGGTGGTTATTACAAAATGATGCAGGAGAATCTGGTGAAGTACCTGCTTGGAAATTAAAAGCTTATAATTATCGACCGGATCATCCAACTACAGCTGGATTAAAGAAAACTCCATCGATGAATAATTTATTCAGTAGAAAATCTACTGAAACATTTGGAAATCATAATGATAATGTTAGTTTGGAAAATCATTCCAATTTTCAGTCACAAAGAAACAATTCACATGCGCCCAAAAGTATACTACGTGATAAGTCTCCAACTAGGCAAACAGATACTTCTGTTTTAAATTTAAGTATACCTAATTCACCTACAGGACAAAATTTTAACAATGATAATAGAATTATGAATGATAATTTTAATACCAATGCTAATAATAACGTTATGTATATAACACCATCACAACTTCAAGAAGCAATCAAAATTAATAGTAATTTGCCAATGATATTAATTCCAGTGCCTAGTTTATATAGTAATAATTCCGATATGTCAGCGATTAATTGGTCTAATCTAATTAACCCAAATACAAATGGTGCTGAGTTAGCGAGAACTCCCAATCCTGGTGCATTAGGACCAGGCTGGAAACCAGCTCCAATATTGAGTACTTCAGCAAGTAAATTTCCCTATTATTGATTGTATACATTCATTATATTGCAAATTTCATTGGGTTTTTATTATTTTAGCATATTTGACAGGACATTTTTCCATTTTCTGTACGTACTTAATGTTAATTGAACTTTGTCAGTTCCTATGAAAATGTCTAGTTGACGATACTCCATTAGGAAAGGTCATTAAGGTTTCCAAACTTACAATATTTAATTAGAAAATGATATTATAATTCATCTGAAATTTAGGACACGTTTAAAGAGCTTTAAATTAAACAGCTTACAGAATTTAATTGAATTATGAATATGGTTTTCGGTGTAGTAATATCAAACTGTCGACCACTTAAAGTATATCATTAGATTATTTATCGTGTTAATAGACATTTTTCAAATAGATTAGTACATCTCCCAGCTGAATAAACTGTCAAGTTTATGCATATAAACAATGATGTAATGTTCTAATACTAGTTTTTAAGCAATGATTGTAAACTTTTCATTCTAATAAAAAGGTAGAATCTCACAAATCTGGATCTCTTCATAATTTTGAACAAAGCAAGGATAAATAGTATGATTTGGAAATAGATATAAGTGTATGCATTTTTATGGTTTCTCTCCGACTGCAAACTGTCTAGAATTACGAATAATTATGGGGTTTAAAAAAGATGAGTGATATCCTTTAGTTTAGGTGGTTGAAATGAAAATCTACAATGAAATAACAGGCCAGAAAATATGACATAGACGACATTCCACATTATTATTAAGATGCATGCACAGTTATATGCGGAAGTATTAACCAAATAAAATGAAAACATGTAAAGTAGTAGATAATAATACTAAAACTGGGAACAAGTGATTACACAATTGACCGACATACTTAAAATCAGCTCATTGATTTATTTCGATAATGTAATAAGAAAACGAAGATTATCAAAACTATGTGATATATTAGCGCAATACATTTATGCAACATTTTTATAAAAGCTGTTCCCTAAAATATAACTGAATATTGTTCTGGTTGCTAACACAAGTAACACCAAGTAAATAGGACATTTTATGTTCCAGTGCATTAACAATATACAATAATGTTAATATTCCTCTAAGATATCTTTAAGATATAACAAATGTTATTGTGGGTTGAGAACAAAAATTGATGTAAGCACTTCTCTCTATCCATAAAACTTGAATTATTTCACTATCATCAATACTAGTATAAATATTCTGAAATTTTTGTCTACATTACATGTCAAAATCCATATAACTATACATCTGACTATTTCTAATGTTCAGTTTTAATTTCATATTTAGTGATATCTTTTCATGCTTTCATCAATTGTTTTGTTTTCTTTTTTAACTTTTAACCTAACGATAATCATTGTTATCATCATGTGATGTATTCATTGATAAATGAAGCTGAAGGTTAGTTATTTGCTTATATTATTCATAATTAACTAATTAAAAGGATAAATCATTAAATGTTAATATTGACAGTTGAACCGTTTAACTAATTTCTTTTGTGTGAAAATTAGTTTTCCTGAATAGTAGCAATAATGTTTTCCTACAGATTGTAATTTCTATGCAAATCAGTTTTATACAGCGTTAAACTAATGTTGAAATTTTAAATTTTCTCTTAAATAAAAATGTAGTCATATTTTCAATTTTCTACTCCACAAGTTCGTACAAAAATCTCCGACTTTTCTGAGCTACTAATCGAAGTCATATAGAAACGTATAAGCCTTTTGATAGACCTTATTAAGTTAATTGACCACAAACTTTAGGTTTCATGGGTCAAAATCGATCGATTTGGATAAAATGCTGGTATAATTTGGTGTTTTTCCTATTATGGTACAAACTCAAAATGTTAATCTATCATTTTATAACCTGAAACTTTCGTGGAAACTGTAAAATATCTGATCATTTACGAAGAAAATGAGTATAGTGCGTAGCAGCTATCATTGTTTGATTCATTATCTGAAACGCCTTCATTGAGTCCACACATGCCCCGAAAAAATGGATTTCTGTTAATCCTAATTTTATTTGTTATATTTCAAGATATTTAATAAAATCATATAGAACTAGCTCATCAGAAACTGAAAATATTATAATCTCAATCTTTTGATAATTTTGTTAAAGATAGAATACATATAGGAGGATTCGAAATAAACTGATAGGCTTTATGATACTTTGAACGAATTATTATTTAGTATATATCCTTTATCAATAGCTTTTTAGGAAAGAAACTACCATAGAAAGCAAGATATAAATTTACATAGATGAAAATAATTTTTTGGGCAATAAGAAATCGTTTTGTTTAGTTGGCATACGTATATATCTATATAATAACGTTGTATGATGAAATAGTTTATGTATCACACAACTGCTCAATGTTAGATGTCATAATAACACAAACAATACAAATTATTACTACTTTAAAAAAGGTTAATGTAATCATTGACTTTTGTGTACAGAACTTATCATACAATTATTCACTGACACGTTTTGCAGACCAAAGACTTAATTTTTGTTAGCTGCAACTTTAAAAGATTAAGCAAGTATTCATTGGTTCATAAATCTTAGATCATCAGTACTTGACGTAAAATATTTCGAAGTACTGTCTTCTATCTCATATATTTGAAAAATAATTTTAGCATACAGGAAAAAATATTTTATTCATCTGAATAGAACAAACAACATGAAAAGTCTTTATTCGATATTTGGGGATGCTCTGGCTCTGAAAATAAGTTTCTTGCAGAGTAACTACTATATGCTAAGAATTGGAGTCGATCAATGGTACACATGACTTTCTGATTACACATTTTATAAAAGTTATTTCTAGAGTTTGACATCAAAACACCTCCTTAGCAATTAATTATTAATGTAGAAAGCATTCTAAAAGTGATAATGTTAGTCAACAAAGTATCGAGAATTCTAAAGTAATGGAAATCACCCTATCTATACACACCTCAGGACTTAATTTAGGACTTCAAACATTTCTCATTAGTCTCGCATATCTGCAGGTTCAAGATTGGAATATCCATGCATATCTGATCTCTATTACTTGTTGTCTTATGCGATACCACACTCTTTAATTTCATACCAATTAATCAAGTAGATTTTGCGTGAAGCTTTTTTCTTTTCTAGTTTTTTGCTCTACTATATTGAATATCATGCATCACATATGCAGTTTGAGCACAGTAATATTAGTGAACATTTCACATTCATTCAAAGGAAAAAGGTTATTTTTTAGATAGATTGAAATGCATAATGTGTATATTTTTTGGTATAATAATAAATCGATCGTTTAAAACATTCTAATGGATTAATAATACTTAATACACTTCTTACTTTTGATTCTCAGTTAGGAGTGTCGTACAATTCTTGCATAATTTAATGTATATCTATATGTATATCTGTGTGTATGCATTTGTTTGTGTTAGCTTTGGGCTACTCTCCATATCCTTTCAATTATCGTAAGTTCTATTTTGTGATATTAATTAACAGTAGATTGTAACTTGTTTATTATTTCTTTTGGTTATATTGCCTAATTATCCTTTTGTTGTACTAATTTTCATCTAACATGGTTTGTTATAACTGCTATATCGTATACTGATTTTTCTAACACTAAATCATCAAATCTTAATTTCGGTTGTAGAAACATTTCATTTCCAGTTATATATATCACTCATAAGATGGAATAATTCTGAGAATTTGATTAATTGGAAAGATTAGTATCATGTGAGAAATAGTTTCTTACCTAGAAGGTTATGAAATTAACCGAAAACGTTTTCATTCTGTAAGATGGCAATGATATCTACTGTTAGATAGTCTAAAACTAGAAAAAAAAGTAACTATTGTTTAGTGCTGTTTGGATTGTAACAGTTTATCAACTGACAGTTTTTTTGAATAAATTTTTTTTAAAGTTTTGTTCTATTTCTTATTAATACACACATTGTTTCTACACACTATTCAAATGTCATCAAAATATATTTCTATTTCGTTGTCAAAACAAAAACATTTTATTACTTAACATTATTAATGACTAAACGATTTAAGTAATACGGATTATTGCAAGTTAGTTGATCGAATTTAACATGTTTATTTTTAAGCAAAAAAGAAGCAAGAACAGAATTGTACTTGAACAGTTATGAAAACTTTATTTCTGTTTAGATTAACCCTCATTTGAATATATGGATAATAATCGGCTCTATAATAAAAATTTAGGTATTTGTTGTGAAGCATAAATATTCATATGGGAACTTTTTAGTTATTAAGTTTATTGAAAATTTAATATTTCAGCCATAAAAATTTGAATTTCAATTCATTTTTGTATTGATTGTTTGTATGAATTAAAACTTCACCTCATTGCACAAGCTAATGGCTATCTGCACTCACTAGCTAAGTGGATAACCAGATGACGTTAATAGGTTCGAGTCCCGGAGTGAATATCAAGTACATCCAGATGACGAGTCCCGGATAGGGCGAAATGCGCGTCCTGAATTTCACTGCTAGCAACCATCCATCTTTGCCTGTTTAAGTTTTAATGTTTATGTAATGTTTGTTTGTCATTTTCTGTTAAGTTTTCGATAGGCTTAGTGACTAATTAAAAATCTCCCATATGAACATTTGTGCCTTAAATACCTAAATTTTTATTATGGAGCTGATTAGCATCCATATACTCAAATTTATAGTTAGTTATTCATGAATGATAGTCAATCTTATGAAGGCTCTTATAGCTTTGTTATCAATGTTACCAGAATAACCAGATCTTACTCAACTTGATTACGCATTAAGCATTTATCATGGACCCAACTATTAATCTGCTTGTTGCTAATGATTATGGAATATCAAAATATATTATTATTATCCACAAAAACTATACATGAAAATTATCGTCATTCTATGGATTAGATGGGATCAGACCAGCAGTGGAATCCAGGATGTGATTTTTGTCCTATTTGGTACTCATCAACCAGATGTACCAACACGAAACGTGCACCCTGAATCCTACTGCTAGTTAAACTCTTTTTATCTTATAAAAACTTGTTACTAATCGAAGCTAATAATATAATAAATAGTTATTTTCATGTTCATAAAACAAAAAACTGATCCTTTTATATATCCATATAAAAGTCACTGAATTCAATTTAAAGTTAATTTACATCCACTAAACCAGAATGTACGTATTTCAGTACTTTAAATACTTATTTTTAAAGCATATTAATTAAAACAAATATTCATTACAGCATAGACTAAACGAAATTTTCTTTAAATTTTATATGAAATAAAAAATCATCCATTATATATATGCCAGTTTCGTGAATTAGTTAAAGTTAGACATTAACACTCGTTGTACGCCGGCTCTTTAGTCTGGATGTTAAGCATTTGTGCTAGAGACCGAAGGTCCTGGCTTCGATTCCTGTACGAAGGATCATAGATGTGGACTGCTGAGGAGGATGGAACAGCCGGCCAGTGCCTCCAGGTTTTCAATGGTGGTCTAACATTAGTCGATTCATGATCTCAATAATTGTATAGTTTTCAAATCATGCACAACCGTATTTGGCACATATTCAACTTCTTTCAATTTTATAATAAACCAAGCTTAATGATTAACATACTAAACAAAAGCCAGATAACAGCATTTCTGATGAACGCTTTAATTGGTCGTTTTTACTAAAATGATTATTATTATATCTCGTTAAAATATATTTATTACATTTCATTCAACAAATACATTGAAATATTTGAATTTGTCAATGATATTGTCTAATTTATCAATTAATTAGGTTAAAATAGTTGTTCTATCACATCAAACTTTAGTGCTAATAATAATAATAATAATAATAATAATAATAAATAATGCTTATCACCGAAGTTTACTTTTAAATAATCTAACGAAAAATCACCAATATCCTACTGTTTATTCACCCGCGTTGCTCATAAATTAAATATTTGTTACCGTTTCATTTAATTCATTATCACATTCGTTCTATAATGTGAAATATAACTAATCGATTGGTGAAGAAATATTTTATTATTAAATGATTCATGTTTGCTAATAATTAATTGTTATGAAAAGTCAGTATTCATCGAGAATCTCCTACTTCACCTAAAATATATACTTACTTCGTCTTATGATGTATTCTAGTATTGTATTATGGGTGTTAATAGCATTAGTTCACCCATTATTATGTATGTTATTCTGATTATAAAGTTTAGGTATAATTCAAATAAGATAAAAAGTCAAAAGAACGATTATGAAACTAGGAATGCTTCCCAATCAGCATTTGCTATCAATATGCGTAAAGCATCAGGTTTACAAGACATTTTAATTAAGACGTTATCTGAAAATGCCCTTAAAAATTATTTTCATGTATAGTAGTAACAAGTTGCCCACTCCAACTATACCATATTTAAAAGACACCTGGAACTTAATCCTGAAAACATCAGTCCTTTTATTGATTTCAGAAAAAAATGAAACTTAGTTCAAAGGAAAAAGTCAAAAATTTATGCGACCCTGATTTAAATAAATATGAAGAGTATACAGTATTCATTTCATAGAAAAAAAGTGATGAGAAATTCAGAGAAATGATTCACAATGATGATGTACTTCAATGAAAACAGACATTTTATAGACATTGGTAGATAGTTTTAGTTTACATTAAAAATGACCCATCTTAAAAAATAGAAGAGAAAATATCTATTTGTTACTAGTCTTCAAGTGTTTAATAGTTAAAATCATTAACTTGAAATCAGCTCACATACAATCGAGCAAAATTATACTCAGATATTGTTTTCATTTAAGTGAACTTAAACAAAACTATTCTTGAATATATAACGTAGAAAAATGATAAGTATGCCAGTATTAAAACATTATTTCAGTGGAGAATATCAACAAATAGTGTTGAATTTAATTTACTTCAATCATCAGAAACAAACTAGGACGATATCCACTTGATCAGTAAACTGTGAATAACATTTTCCTGATGTTATTTGATGAGAAATACTTTGAATATGTTACAATTTTAGTTCAAGATTACATTCCATGCATGAAAAAACATTTAAAGAACTACTATTTTTATTGACCATTCTGAATCGCTCAAGATCTGAATATTTATAAACGTATTTTCTATTGAATATTCGTGTTTGCAAAGCATATCATGAAAAGATTCTTCATTTTTACAACATTATTTCTATAAATCACTCATTTATTTCCCATTCTCAATACTTAGATGATAAAATTAATTAAGGAATTTATTATCCAGTAAGAAACTAAATATCTTTCCATATCATTATGGTAACACTCACTGATTAATAATAAGTCATATAACCAAAAAAAGCGAGTTTGCTGACTTGGATGATATCAAGCACTGTATGTTGTGTACCAATCTTGCAATAAAGATATAACGACATCAAATGAAATTGTGAATAGATCTAATATATGATTGATAAGAAAATTCTATTCTCAAATGTAAACAGGGTTGTTTCATTTATGTTTAATAAGATTTCTTTAATTTAATAAAAAAAATAAGTGATCTGATTGATTTTTACTGTGTGTATGTTTAGTTTCCAACTGTTTCAATCTAAAAATTGACAAACTCAAATCGAGATCATACTGCTTATCTTATCAAAGTTACTGACTAATATATTGAGACGCCTATTATTTTATCATCTATGGATGTTACGATATGAAGCAACTATATGATAATAGTGCACCTTACGTACATAAATTCAGTCCCATTAGTATAAAATGTAGAATAACTTATTATAGACAATTGTTCTGAGGTGCAAGTATTTAATGCCATGCTTAATAGCAACAAAATTAAAATACTAAGAAAAAACACTTAACCTCCCATGCTTGCATTACGTATGATCTGTCTTTAAATAATCGATTTTTTCATACAAACCATTGTTGTACTAACTTTTAATTAAATTTAATAAATAACTAACTGCTTCACGATTAACTAACCCTTGCATTTATAAGTAACAATCCCATTTCTTTTCTGTAAATTTATGCTATGTATTTGTATATTATAGCTACTCATATGCATACTATGACAAGAGAATTGAGAGAAAGATTGTCTAAAATGCAACTTGGAGGAGGAACTGGTCTTAAATCAGTGCCTATACCCTCCACGACACTTGATAAACCTGATCAAAGATTATCAAAATATGCATCCAAGGAAGAAGTTGCAGAATGGTTAGTAGCGCATCAATTCTCGCCAAAGTAAGTGCCCAAACATAAAAAAGTGAACTTAAGATGTAACAAAATTTCTCAAGAAAGATATATACAAAATTCCTGATAAATATATTTGTGTTCAAATTATCCATAATATCAAGTGTTTATCAATAATTTCTTTTAGTTCTCACCTATAACGCTACTAAGGTTACCAAATAGGCGATCGATGATCCTAATGTTAAACAAGAGAAAAAACTGTCTACTAATTTGTCAAAATCCTAAAGAGAATGAATTGTTGTATACGTGTTTAGATCCCAACCGTACAACCTTCAAATGTTCTTTCAACTAAAT